AGAACAAAAGACACAAAACAGAAACTTTTCTGAAAGCAGGAGGGTGGTAACCACTCTCAGTAAGTATGCCTCTAATAGGGTTCTTATCAGAATCTTATTAGTTTCTTAGATAAGATTGTTTAAGGTTTCCTATGGACAGTCGTAATTGTCTAAATAAAAATCCGATAAGATTCTCATAAGAGGTTTGTAAAAAATTCATAGGAAATACAAAAATTCCTATTATTTTTATCTACTGGAAGGCAGCTTATGAGTCGGTTTTTACGATTTCTGTTATGATTAACTTGCTTCTATAGGCACAAGTGACCATAACAGTCACTGCTGACTTATAACTGACGCTCACTTATTCTGCTGACTTGTGATTTGTGAGTCATATTCACAGAACTGTTATGTAAAAATTTTATTAGGATGTATTAACTAGTTAATTTATACTAGTTCTCAAGGTAACTTTCATTCCTATCTAAAAGAAGTTGATATAATAATATAAAAGAGTAAGCACTTATCGCCTAATGATTAAGATATCCGGGCAGCTGATTGGAATATTACGAGCTTGATCCCTGTTAAGTGCGATTTTGTTTTTATTTCATTTTTTGTATCGCTCAAGCACTTCCGATGACGGACAGCAATATTCCGTAGAGCAGGAGATCAAGCTTTTTTCTGGCTGGCATTAGAGACCTGCAACCCGATCCAATCCTAGGATCGTGTCGGGTTCGGGTTAAGACGCTGTCGGGTCGATTCGGTTTAAGATGCTGTCGGATCGAGTCGGATTCGGATTGAACATTTCGTGGCGCAATTTAAAATATAGATAATAATTTCAATTTTGTATTGCTCGTGGAAAAGCTAACTCTACTGGAATTTTCAGTTGAAATACTTATTTCAAAGCAACTTCGTTCACTAACGAGGCAAGGTCTTCAGATGCCCAACTCCGTTTTTAATGATATTATGTCAGTTAATAGAGGAAAGTGAGCTGATAAAAACCCTTAAAGGAGGGCCCATATCAATTCCTTCAAAAGTTATGAATTTTTTTGTTCTAAAGGAACACTGTGTGTAGTAACAGTAATAATTCTGTAACCCAGTCAAAACAAAGAATTAAGAGATGAAATTTTCTTTTGTACTTTTGCTAATAGTCTGCTAACATTACAGAAAATTTGAGCGTTATCTCTTTCTAAATTCGCTTGTTATTGAACTTTTCTTCGTGAAGGAAAACGAAAACAATGCTTCTTCAAACCGCACAATTTTCAATGATAACATTTCTTTTTATTAGAGATGATATTGCATGCATTTTTTCCTGCTGAAAACATTCTGCAACGGGAAGAAAACAAAGAAGATAATTAGCTTTGTCACGTGCGGGCTTTCCCGTTTGTGAGGCAAAGAAAAACTAGTGAACCAACTAGAGAACCCTTACGGGTTTGAGCAAAGTTGCGAATTTAGAAAGATATAACGCTCAAATTTTCTGTAATCTTAGCAGACTATTAGCAAAAGGTCACTCGTCTATAATGCGATGCCCTCCGCTAAACAAATAGGTAAATAAAAAGGCAGAAACTTAAGAACAAAACAAAAGAGTAAAGATTTACCGGGTCGAGTCGGGTCGGGTTCCGTTAGGATCAAATTAAGTCGCATTACTGTATCTTATTTTCACAAAATAAGGCGGCTACTTCATGATTGAGACCACTTTTTTTGTATGATTAATCAGATTTAAAAAGTGATCTCATTTTGGAAATGAAAATTTTATAGTAGAAAAGTGGTCTCAATTTGAAATGCATGTATTCTCTCGTTTTGTTATACAAATAAAATGTGGTCTCAATTTGGAATAGAGTTTTTGTTCTTTTCGCATACTCTGTACACTGTTTATAATTTCGAATCGTTCTTTAATTAGGAATGATTGGCTACTGTAGACATAGAAATTGATTGAAATATTTTTCAAAATCGATGCTTAAAACTAAGTTGAGCTGGAAATGACATTGCGGGATCGGGTGAGGCTATAAAAATGAACAGTAGCACTACCTTGAAGCACAATATCTCAATTCGGTTTCCTCTACGAATCCTAACATAGCTCAAATAAAAAAGGGTCTGTACTTGTAATTCTTGTTCATGTTCAATAATAATGAAAGATGATGTCATAAATGGTAGTAGTGATATTGATGCTAATGGTACTCATTATCCAGTACACGATCCAAAATTACCGGAGAATATTTTAAATTGTGTGAGTTCGCCTATGTCGACAAAATTGCGGTATTTTTAACAATTAATCTCGATTCTTGAAAAATCGCAGATTAATTGGTGATTCCGATTATTTTTCTTTCGTAGAGGAAACCGAATTGAGATATTGTGCTTCAAGGTAGTGCTACTGTTCATTTTTATAGCCTCACCCGATCCCGCAATGTCATTTCCAGCTCAACTTAGTTTTAAGCATCGATTTTGAAAAATATTTCAATCAATTTCTATGTCTACAGTAGCCAATCATTCCTAATTAAAGAACGATTCGAAATTATAAACAGTGTACAGAGTATGCGAAAAGAACAAAAACTCTATTCCAAATTGAGACCACATTTTATTTGTATAACAAAACGAGAGAATACATGCATTTCAAATTGAGACCACTTTTCTACTATAAAATTTTCATTTCCAAAATGAGATCACTTTTTAAATCTGATTAATAATCATACAAAAAAAGTGGTCTCAATCATGAAGCCTCGAATAAGACACATTAATGCGACTTAATATGATCCTAAGTCGCATTTCTTTTTACAGTGTGGGAAATCTTAAACAATCTTATATAAGGAACTGGTAAGACTCTTATAAGAGACTGGTGAGAAACTTATAAGTTTTTGGTAAGATTCTTACATAAGAATCGATCTCCAGTCAAGTTTGACTTACATAAAGAATTCAAGAGTATCCCGTACTCAAGCAATGTTCTTTAATTTGGTACCAGCGGATTGTTTTTAGAAGCATTTCATTAAATAGCAAATAACGGAGATGACGCTCATACAGCAAAGATTATAAAAAAGTATATTCTAATTTTAAAACAGAGTAAGTTTTTAAAAATCAGGATGGTTATTAACCCTTTGAGTAAAAAATAATCCCGCAAAAGTAGCAAAACTCCTACCAATCAAGAACCATGATAGCCAGAAACTTCTAATTTTGTGTGGTCATAGCTCTTACCGAATGTTGGTCACGCACCAAGTATGAGCCTCTTTTACTGGATGGTTCGTGAGATATAAGTGATTTATTTCTTTTCCGTAAAATATCAATAGTTCCTGATCTGAGAGAGTTGAAAACTTTTTCTTTTAGAAGAAAGTAGCCACGGCTCTACTCTGTAAGCGATATGAATTGCGTGAGTTGGCTGTTAGTAGTCAGGTAAATACAGCTTCCTTCCAAATTCGAGATCCTTTGCGAAAAAAATTCACAATTCCGTCTAGGAGTATCAGTTTGACTTCAAATTTGCACCAAAGACTCTACAGTATCTGTAGACTGTCTGGCCAAAGTATGAAGTTTAACTATTGGGTGGTTCCGGAAATTCATTGAGAACCAGCATCTACGATTGAAACATATGTAGAAGAGCGAGGGTGATGAACTAAGGTTCGCTCTTTCTACTATAGAATTTGCATTCAATGTACATCATAATCATGAAAAACAATCATGGAAACCGATGATTTAGAAAAAATTAGGTGAAACTTTTGTTAGAAAGATTACACACTCACCTCTACCTTCACTTATTTTGCGCCCTTTTCACTCCTCATATATTTTCAATCAAAACTAATAACATATTTGAGATCAGCAGACAAAACTGGGTCATTCATTTCATTGAATAATCAATACGTAATATTTACGAAAGCTGTTCAGAGGGCAAAATCTCAGGACGCGAATTCGCTTACTCAAAGGGTTAAACTCCCTCCGATCTGAGCGTCTTTGAATGAACTCTAAAAGAGAGCTGGAGCTCTTGAGTAGAAGTTCTCAAGTGTTTTCTTCAGATATTCTCTATGCATAACATTCGAAACGGCTAACATGCATACTTCTTTCTCATATAATTTTATTTTTAGTACAGAATACATACAAATTCAAAACTAAGGTCATAATCGCGTGTTTAACTCGAAACTACAACATTTACCACTTCGTAAAGTTAGAATATTTCTCTGTCACAGTTTTTTGGACGAATATAACAGTACGCCAACTTCTTATCAATCAATTGTATCGCCGAAAGTTCTTCAACAAAAAGTAATATAATTTCACTATTTCGTCTTTTTGGCTCAATCTTATTTGTTCCTACATATTCTTTATGTATACGAGTATTTTAGCCGGAAAAGCTTTTTCATATTCATCCACAGAAAAATTCTTTCCAACCGCATTAGATATCTACAGCTTGAAGAAGCTGCTATTTTTAACCTTTCTTTGACATAGTACCTAGTTTTTTGTCTATACAGGCCGAAAGAAGGAACTTATTCTTTTTATCTTTCCGTATATACGCCTGGATCAATATCTACACATTTTGTCGAGTCAGTTTTCAAACACGTGTTGTAGCATTATTTTATTTTATTTTACACATCAAAACAATGTAGACGTACGAGACTGTACAGTTAGTCTGTTATCTCAGTACAAACTGGTTGAAGAAAAAAAATACGAAAACTTTTTTTTCAACAATGAAAATACGTATAAACATGAGAGCAAGACATGATTTACTAACTCGCACTCTACATCGATTAATATCGAATAGTTTCCAGAACGATCTCTTCTTTTTTATGTTTACTATTTTACGGGGGGTGATAACCAATCATTTTGGAGATGAAAAAAATCGAGTTCAGATTTTAGAATCTCTTTCTTTCTCTTTGTTGACGGTATAAATACGCCACAAAGACCATGACTATTCATTCACTTTATTCTTATTGTAGAATATTTGTATTTTTGATTTATCTCATTGCTGACGCCACTATTATCAATTTTGTCTTGTTTGCTTGACCTATTATAATCGTTAATAATAATAATAATTACTCATTTGCTTGTCAGCAATGGATCTTCTTGGTCAAGGTTTACGTTATGAGGAAGATGATGAGCACGTTTTTGAAGATAGTCCAGTTGATTCAGTTTCATCACGATCAACAACACCACCAGATTCTCCAATTAATGGTTTAGTTCGTCATCCGAATAATGATCAAATAAGCAAGATTGAACAACAAATATCGATTGATGAAATTTCACAATTGACTGCCGGTAAGGAAAGAGGGAAAAAAGTTTATGTTTTTCCACTGTTTCTTATACAATTTAGGCATGTACAAATTATATCAAACAAATAAGCCAACAGTTGCTGAACAATTACAAATGAAAAATCCTACAATACCAAAGCTTAATGAAGGCTATTTGACACCACCACAATCACCGTTTGTTCAACCTAAATATTCAAATTTACCATCAACATTCCAAAATGATGATTCAATTAAATTAGCTGAACAACTACCATCTAATAAAAGAACAAATCCCTCTGATTCAATATTCAATGATTGGTCAATCAATGTGCCATCGACAGGAGTTTTAACCGCAAATTCTCAATCATCATCAAAAAATCAATCAAGTCTTCAACGTTATATGAGTACACAACGCATAATGTCAGATAATACAATTCAAGGGTCAGCAGGTAAACTGGGACTAGTTAAACAACTTTTTACAACCTGATATAACTTGAAAATACATAATTCGTAAGCTCTAAAGTGAAATCAGAGCTTTGCTACTGCAGAATCCAGGAGAGATCGTACAAGAAGATAGATAATAATTCTTCTTTTTTTTTTCAGGTGATTTTTCAACCGAAAAGGAGATCGAAAGTTTTGAGCCAAAACGGCATATATCTGTTACCGCTCATGTTGAAACAGGTAGATCTCTGACGTAAAATTCGATTAATTTAATGTCTCCTTCGAAATATGTATTTTTTAGAAGGAAATCATTTGTATTCGTACATTTCAAAAGCAATGGATTCCTCAAATTCAACAACATGGCCAAATTTGGGTATCTCAGATGTTTCTCAACAACATTCCTTCAATCAAGATCTTGGCCGTAATTCACCACTTCCAAATGATTTACGAGCTCCAGGTGCACCTCTTCATGGATTATCACCATTAGCAAAATCACGTGGGCCATCATCATTCAGCCCAATGAGTGCTAATCAACAACATTCAGCAATGCAGTTAATATTTCCACAACAACAAAATCATATTACCGTACGCGGTGCTCAACAGACAATGCCAGCGTTTTCCTCATCATCTGGTATACCACAACAACATTTCTATCCACAACAATATCGTACTCATCAACCACAGCCAATGCCGTCATACAACCCCATGGATCCATCGTATAATTCAATCGTGGATGCTGCCGTTAGCGCTGTTCTATTAAGACAACAGCAACAACAATTGGCTCAACAACAACAAAATATTGGTGGTTTGCCGTCAATGTCATTTCTCAATCCAGCGCAATCTCAGTTGGTTAATAATAATAATAATCGTCCATTACGTTCAGAAAAAATTGATATTGAAATAATTAAAGCATTAATTCGTCAAGCAAAAATGAAACGTCGACTTGGATTGAAAAAAGAGGTAAATTGACTGCTTTGTCGGTGTACGGCTCAATGACTCCTTGTCTTTCTTCTAGGTGTGTGTCTTCTGTCGTAATAATGGTGAAAACGAATTAATTTATACTAGTCATAGTTTGAAAGATTCAAACGGTAATGTTTCATGTCCAATATTACGTGCTTATCAATGTCCAATATGTGGTTCAACAGGTTCAGCAGGTATGTGTTCAGCTTTTAAAGTCTCTTTTTCTAATCCTTAATGGTTTTCTTTTGTTCTTATGTTCAGCTCACACAATTAAATATTGTCAAGCAGCTAGTGAAGATAGTAAACGTTTATGTACTCCATATGAAAAGTTGCTCCGTCAACAATTGTTACAATCACTCGATGGTATGAATATGTATGGTTTTTGTCTTTAATTGTACTATGCGCGGGATGTGCCCGCGCAAAGAACTAAATATCACTCTATAACAATGAATTATCAATAGTTTTTTTTTCTGTTTTTGATTAATTTCACTGTCGTTTCAAGTTTCATTATTATTCTCTCTCAATCTCAGTTTATTTATTCTCTGTAATTCATTGGTTTTTTTATGCATGCATTCGCTTAGAACCATAAATGCAATATTAAAAGAACAGATTATTAAAAAATTGACGAACATCGCATAATCTGGCAGTTTTTTTGTGTTTTTTTTGTTGTTTGGTTCAAATTTTTATTGATTATTTGCCTGGTGATGTGAGTGTGTTCACAGTAGTTTTTTGTCTATATTTCCATTCAGTGTGAGAGTGTAGTAGTTTTTTCAGTAGTTTTTTTCTCGGTTCATTCAGTTTTGGCTGCGCGCATTTTTCTAAGCATATATGTATTTTCTGTATGTTTTGTTTTGTGTGCACGTTTTGTTTTTGATTTCTAGTAAATTTTATTGGGAAAAAATATTTTTCGGCAAGTAATACAAAGAAAAGATTATAAATTGCAGCATCAATGTACTTTCGTTGATAATTTTACTCTTTATTACTGAGAAAACTGACACTTAGGTACTTCATAAATAAACGCCAGTTACTATACTAGCTTAAACAGTTTCTTCTTTCTTATTTCAATATTTTTTTTGAGTAGCGAATTTTACTAGCATAAATGGCTTTTCTCGTTGCGTAAATCGCTTTTCCCGTAGCATAACTGCCTTTTTTCCCAGCATAAATTGCTTTTCTCCTGACAAAAATCGCTTTTTTCCTCCGCTTTGCCCCTAGCATCACTGGCTTTTTTACTAGCATAAATCGCTTTTCTCCTAGCATAAATGGCTCTCTTACTAGGAGAAGTGGCTTTTCTGCTAACGTAAATGCCTTTTTTTTCTAGCAAAAGTCGCTTTTCTGCTAGCATACATTGCTTTTCTCCAAGCATAAATGGCTTTTCCCGTAGCATAACTGGCTTTTTTCCTAACATAAATGGCTCTTTTCGTAGCATTAATGCCTTTTTTCCTACTGTAAATGGCTCTGGCATTTATTACGCTCCAGCTTAAAAGTGTTCTTGTAGCTTACATGGCTCTTTTCCGAGGATAAATGGCTTTTTTACTAACATAAGTGCTTTTCTCCTAGGATAGATGGCTCTTTTACTAGCATAAATGGCTCTGCCGTTTATTTCTTTTCTGCATAAAGGACTGTTTTTGTTTGATAATTTGACTGTCCGCGAAGGCTCTCTAGTATAAATGGCTAATTTCTAACACAAAGGGCTTTTCTTTGTCATAAATGGCTTTTTTTCTAGCATAGATGGCTCATTTCCTAACATAGATCGCTGTTTCCAAGCATAAATGCCTTTTTTTGAAGCATAAATGCGTCTTTTGCTAGGATAAATGCGGCTTTTCCTAGCATAAATGGCTTTTTTTGCTAACATAAAGGGCTTTTTTCCGAGCATAAATCGCTTTTCTCGCACCGTAAATCGCTCCTCTCCTACCATAAATTGCTCTTCCTCTCCTACCATTTATGCTGGGAAAAAAGCGATCTATGTTAGAAAATAAGCCATTTATGCTAGGAAAAAACACATTTATGCTAGGAAAAAAGCTATTATATTGGGAAAAAATCCATTTATGCTGGCGGAACAGCCACTTATGATACGAAAAAAGCTATTATGTTAGGAAGCTAGGGGAAAAGCGAATTGTGGTAGGAGAAAAGCGATGTATGCTGGGAAAAAAGCCATTTATGCCAGGAATAAATTATACTAAAAATTATTAAAAATGTATTTTAAAAGCCATTTATGCTTGGAAGAAAGCCATTTAAGGTACAAATAAGCCGTTTAAGCTGGAGAGTAATAAATGGCAGAGCCATTTACGCTAGGAAAAAAGGCATTTATGCTAGCAAAAAATCCATTTATGCCAGAACAAAAGCTATTTATGCTAGGGAAAAGCCAATTTATGCTGAGGGAAAAGGAATTTATGCTAGGAGAAAAGCGATTTATGCTGGGAAAAAACCTATTATGTTAGCAAAAAAGCCATTTATGATAGGAAAAGAGGCGTTTATGCTTGAAAAAAGTCGTTTATGAAAGGAAAAAAGCCACTTATGCCCGGGAAAAAGCCCTTTATGTTAGCAATAAAGCCATTTATGCTTGGAAAACAGCCATTTAAGGTACGTTTAAGCTGGACAGTAATAAATGGCAGAGCCATTTACGCTAGAAAAAAACGCATTTATGCTATGGAAAAAGGCATTTATTAGACGGTAAAAGCCATATATGCTAGGAGAACAGCCATGTATTTTAGAAATTAGCCATTTATACTAGAGAGCCTTCCCGGACGGTGAAATTATCAAACAGAAAGAGACATTTATGCTAGGAAAAAAGGCATTTAGTTTAGCAAAAAAGCCCTTTATGCTGTAGAGAAATAAATGGCAGAGCCATTAATGCTAGTAAAAGTAGCATTTATCCTTAGGAAAAAAGCGATTTATGCTTGGAAAAAAGGCATTTATGCTACGAAAAAAGCCAGTTAGTCTACGAAAAAAGCCATTTAAGGGAAGAAAAGAGCCATTTGCGATACGAAAAAAGGCATTTCAGGCTCTTTTACTAGCATAAATGGCTCTGCCGTTTATTTCTTTTCTGCATAAAGGACTGTTTTTGTTTGATAATTTGACTGTCCGCGAAGGCTCTCTAGTATAAATGGCTAATTTCTAACATAAATGGCTTTTTTTCTAGCATAGATGGCTCATTTCCCAACATAAAAATGCGCTGTTTCCTAGCATAAATGACTTTTTTTGAAGCATAAATGGCCTTTTCGAAGCGTAAATGGCTTTTTATGCCAGGGAGAACGTATTTATTCTTGGCAACAAGCCATTTATTCTTGGAAAGAAGCCATTGAAGATACAAATAGTCCGTTTATGTTGGAGAGTAATAAATGGCAGAGCGATTTATGCTGGGAAAGAAAAGCCATTCACGAGCTGAGCACGCATTTTTATAAGAATGAGGCACTGGTCAAAATTTAGGTTTTTTTGGTAGCCATTCGATAGAGCATCATTGAAAACCGTCAAATTCAAATTTTCAGCGCATTTGGATGTACTGTCGTGAAATCCGCCTGGGTTAATCTTTGGTCACTGTTTAGAAAACATCAAAAAGCGCCGCATAACTATCTAGTAGATTTATATTTTAACAAATCGAAGTTGTTTAAAATGTCGTATACCAAACGATAGAGGATGAAAAACTGGACAAAACGGGCTACTTCAAGTATCCTATGCCATCTATTTAGTACACTTGTTTAGTCCAACACGATGAAAATTGGCATAGTTTGACAGTTCATTTTTGCCAGTATGTCCGCTGACATTTTTTGAGAACAAACATGACTAAAAACTATTTCACTCTTTGCAATAACGTAAAAACATGACGGCCAAATATTAAGTTGAGGCAAAGAGCAGCTCTTAGAAGATAGATTTTCCACTATTATTGATATTACAAAGGCAGAGTAAATACTATGATTATTGTAGTTTCGATGCACCAGTACTTTTCAGTGAAAGTACGCACAAGAAAAGCGAGCTCACAGGATATTGGATCAGAATATGCAAAAAGTAAAAACCGAAAAAGAGAGTCTATTCTTGCTATTCACTTTCAATTATAAAAGAATAATAAAAAAGACAAACAAGTTAACTGCCGTCATATTTATTTAAATCGGTTCCTTCGAGACGACTAATGTACGTGTCGCACCCGAAAAGTGTGCCCACAACATAATCAGAGCCGTTTTAAGAAATTCTACTCTCATTTAAATAATTCTTTGTATTATCTTCAGTGCCTGCTTATCCTATGTGTTAATTGTGCTATAGCACAGGGCCCCGGCTGACTTAGGAAGTTACATTTTTGCAGAAAACAAATTTTAAAAGTAAATGTACAAATAATTAAAATGATTAGCAGCTCTTTTTACATTATTAAAAATGGTATTAAAAAATAATGTATTTAGCTTTGCTGGAAAATTCTATAAGCAGAAATTTGGTACGGCAATGAGAACTCCTTGCGCTTCTCCATATGCAAATATATTTGTTTTAATTCAAGAGTTGAAATATTTGCAAAAGATAGATTTATATAACGAAGCGAAAAACAAAAACTTAAGCAATATTTTGTCTCCTAGTTGGTGCAGTGAGTGTTTTCTCGATTGTTGATTAGTTTATTTTCTGGTTTCTGTTTGTGATAATGCAACAGTTGCATCTGTCTGGTTCGTTAGTCGTGTCTTCATTTCGATATTCTGTGGACGAGGTACGGCTGCTCGTTGCTGTCGAACAAGTCTTTTACCAATCACGGTTTGCCGAAATTCTTCCGAATACATTGTTGATGGCAATACATATAAAGTAAAACCCAAGATTTGTGGTAAATATGAGAGAAAATAAGTTGTTAACAAAGTGTATCGTTGCCATGATTGTTTTAACTTACTACATGCGTATGAAAATAATAGAATAGTCTGTGGTAACGAACTGAGAACGATGATGATCAGTGTGATATATTGTTCCTTTTGTATTTTCCATTGTCTCACCAATAGATTGAAAAATGTTTGTTGATTGTTCCCACTTGTTCGTGCTCGACTACAAGCAACTTGTATTATTAGAATTGTAATTGAAATAATCTGAATAAGAAATGGAATAAAATAATGAACTAAAATATTGATACGATCATAAATAGAAACCGATGTTTGAACATAATTAGTGACGCAAAGAGTAATATTGAGAGATGTGAAATGAAGTAGAGAACTGCTGAGAAGATCATGATTCATTCATGAATGAATCATGATCTTCTCAGCAGTTCTCTACTTCATTTCACTATTTAATCTTACTGCTCCTCGCTCTTCATTGAGAGATGTGTCAGAATAATCAACAATTGTTGTATAATACATCACTTCATGAATATGCATACTAAATACAAACAATATTACAAAAATACTCAAACCGAATACTCGACGTGGATTTTTCAATGTCGAAGATGTTGGAAACAAAACCAAACGTAGACGTTCAATTGTGATAAAATTTGTTAACCAATATGTAATTCGTGTAAAAACAGATAAAAGATACGAAACAATCCTACATGAATAGAGACTGAAGTTTTCATAGTAGAATAATGTACCACTACTATCAAGAATAATATGAATAACTTTGAATAATAAAAGTAACAATGAACACCGATCAACAATTGAAATAATCAGAAGATATATGCCAACACCCACTTTTCGCGGTTTCGGACGAATAAATGTCAAAAAACTATTGAAATTGTTGAATAAACCAAAGAAAAAGATCAAAAGAATAATTAAAGTGTAAATACCAATGGACACTTGACGATTATTTTGTAGATCTTTGACAATCAATGAATCCAAAGTAAAACTCATCAATTCAGTTGAATATTGACATATTTGTCCATGATAACAACGTGGACAAAGACAAAGAAAATCAGATCTATCATTTAATTCACCTCGAAGACAATAACCATTTGACAAACAGAAAGAACATTGATCTTGAAAACGATTATATCCAAAACATTCTGCACGATAATGATCAATCTCACAAATGCATAAATAATTCAAATCACGAAAACAGATTAAAGTTGTATTGGTGTTCTGTTTTGATCGACAAATATGATGATAAAAGAAAACAGATGTTGTAGAGTTGAACGTGGAATTCTCAACAGTTCCTACAAAAAATTATCCATCTTCTATAAACATTTTCAATACAACTAACGCAGCAAACTTTGTTCAGATCATCTGAAGCATCTCTCAATAATCAATCAATAGAATTTTGACATACTGGAGCTAGCCAGAGGCTAGTACAAGAACTTTCGATACAGGTCCTATGTCACTGCTAAAATACTCTAACTTACCTGATTGGTCAGTTGTCTGAACTAAATGCCATAATGTTTCCACTAATGGACAATGATTTTCTGATGTTAGATCGACTGTAATATTGATATCTGTTTGATTAGGATAAAAATATAATAAATAATAATTTGGCTCTTCTTGATGATAATTTGCTCCATAGACTTTGAAAACAGCTGTTGTTGGGACGTATATGTCAAGTTTACTAATGTAAATTGGTTTCAACTTTAAGAGCAAACCAAAATAAACTTGTTGATGAGGAATAATAAAACGTAATGTTCCCTTATCATAGTCACTATAGAAAACTGTTGCAGCAACAACATCATTTGTTTGTAATGTTCAGTTGGATGATAACATAATGTTGACATTCACCATGCCTTTTAATGATTCACAGTGAGATCCTTCATATAAATCAGTACAAATGCATCGATAATGATTCACATCAACCAAATTATATGTCACCATACAGGTTCCTCCATTTAAACATGGTTTTCGTTGACAATGTTCATTATTAAAATAACATCTTGGACCGTATGTTGATATTGAACACAAACAGAATGGATGTCGTTGATTTCCAGTTAAAATGCCGTGATATTTTGGTTTACAAATTGATTTTGGTGCACAATAATTCTGACATTGTTCATCATAATGTTCACAACGAGTGCCATAAAAACCACTTTTGCATGAACAAAAGTAGGAGAAATCGTTTGTATTGATTATTCTTTCACGAATTCCATTTTGAGTACATGAATGATTTGAACAAGGATTGATTGTTGATGGAAAATGTAAAATCTTTGATAAACGATTATGAATCAAAGTAAATCAAATATTTCCAAACTCCAACTATTTCAATTTTTCTATTGGAATGTAAATTAAATACTTCAGATCGAACACTGTACAGTTGAGTTCCACCTCGATTTGTTTTTTTCAACTGTATATATTTTTCTAGTCGAGGATAGAGGAAATAAATCTGTTTTTTTTATATAATTGTGACCATTTTGTGTTTGTGGATTAACATAAAATTCATAATAATCAATAATTTCATCTTCAAATAAAAATGTTGTCAAGACTTTTATAATATTTATTTCATTGATAGATGATCGGTATTTCTTTAAATCAAGATGTGTTGCAACTGTTATTCGATCACTATAATATTCACATTGTGCTCCATAAAAGCTTGGCGGACAAAAACAGATTGTATAACCTGTATAATATTTCACTACGAGACCACGATTACAAATAAATGGAAGATAATGATTTTCAAATGTTATGTTACGAGTTTTAAGGGAATCACCAACAATTTCATAAACTGTTTTAAGTTTAGAATTATCTGCTCCGAATATTCGAGTTTTATGATCATCTGTTTTTGAGTTCATGACATATAAGATTCGGCTTGAACGAGCAATAAAGGATGAGTATTTTGTAACAATTGTGTTGATGGCGGATAATTCTTAAGTCGTAACGATGGGAACTGCCCGTGTTTCACTACTCTGTATTTCAACAATGAATTTTGTGATGCACATCGATACTCATCCTCACCGTGAGAACATTCCTTTCGACCATTACATCTTCCATTTTTTTATACAAAAATCGTTCAAACACATCACATCGCTCAAAGTCACTATTTGTGTCGTTTTTAAATTTAAATTTCTGATGAAAACACACTGTATCATGAGCCGCATTAGTGACGGGTTTCCACGGATTGAAATCATCGTGGCACAGATGAATGTATGATACACAATGATTATCATTAAACTGAAAATGGAAACCCTACATACCGAAATATGAACATTGTAATCTATTTCTTTCGTCAAGACCAGTTAAGCAATCTGTTTTTTCATCTCCAATTTGTGTTAAATTGATACATGGACGATTGACTTCAACATTAAATACATCATCAACATCAGTTCGAAAACATGGATATTCAGATGAAAGATCACAACGATCAGAAAAGGAAACACTATGTGCCGGATACTGGTCATGGCATTGCTCTTTGACTTTGTTCGTATTATTCTCCGATGAAGTTTGTATATATTTTCGAAGATAGACGCATCCTGGATCAGCACTTTTCGTACACGCAATACCCATCAATGGAACAATATCACTTTCGTCATCAAGTTCATCTCGGCCGTTGGAACAAGAGGGATCACAATCTCCCAGTGCACCGACTAATAAACATGTCAGTTCAGACGATGAACACTGAAAATGATGACGTTGAATTTCTGGACATGAGTTACTGATAGTTTTAGATTCTTCAACATCAAAACAATCAACTACTCCATCCCACCATGTATTCGGAAGAATTTCGGCAAATCGTGACTGGTAAAAGACTTGTTCGACGGCAATGAGCAGCCGTACCTCGTCCACAGAATATCGAAATGAAGACACGGCTAACGAACTAGACAGATGCAACTGTTGCATTATCACAAACAGAAACCAGAAAATAAACTAATCAACAATCGAGAAAACACTCACTGCTCCAACTAGGAGACAAAATATTGCTTAAGTTTTTGTTTTTCGCTTCGCTGGATATTGGTCATGGCATTGTTCTTTGACCTTGTTCATATTAATTACGGAAATTCTCTTTTCTTTCCGTGAATTTATCTCCATTTCTGGAAATTCATTTCGGTTTCCAGGATACCCATTTGTTTTTCGAATCTCGATGATTTCTTGAAAATCCATATCGAGCATCATATGCTCTCTTTCCGCCGTCACCCTCAGGGAGAGAGATGCCCTATGTGAAATTCAATTCAATTTCCTAGAAATTAATTTCCAAGAAAATAATTTTCTGGAAATTAGTCTCCGGTTTCCCACTGATGAATTTCCAGGAAATTCCTATAATGCATCATATGGTGTAGTCATAGCAGATGATAATTGCACCATTCGACTCAGGGCTCTTAATGAGATGGGATGGGAGAGAAAAGTCGTCCTGTGGGACAAATCAGTTTGTCCCATCCTATTCCATGGGAAAACTCGTCTAGTAAAAAAGATTTTTAAAGCTTGAATCGACCTCAATGACTATTTCCTCAGTTATCTCAGTATTCCTCTATCTGTTTCTGTTTAGACCAGTTTATTTTACATTTAATTTTTTACACTAATTACAAGTATGCTATGCTTTCGTCAAGAACTAAATTGTGAATCTATGGTATTAGGTTCCTTTTAAATTACTTACTTTTAAATCAAAACTTATAAATAGGGATGCACCGGTGCACCGGTTGCACAGTGGGCATTTTTTACTAGAGCAGGCGGACTTTAGCTTTATGAGTGAACTAAAATTTCATGAACCATTTTTTTATAGGTTTTTCATGATCCTCTTTCTAATGGCATGAGAGTTGGGCTTTGAAA